GCAATGTCAGGTGTTTTTCTCTTATAGGTTGTATTACCTCCACAACTTGAAGACATCAAAGAAAAAATGGCGGAAAATTTTCATGAACTCTGGTTAAAGGACAGAATTGACCTTGGGTGGACATATGGAACAGTAAGAAAAGTAGTTTTTAGGGAAACATTTAATTAATATCCCCAATCTCTTAATTTTTGGTTCTGCCTGTGATGTAATAAACAGCTGTTTTTGACACCCAGGTGAAAGATGAAAGCAAACAACATGATCCTTGTCTAGTTGAGTTCTCCAAGCTTCCAGAGCAGGAGAGAAACCAGAACCTACAGATGGCTGAGGATACACTTAAGTAAGCTTTAATAGATGAAACCTAAAATGACAAACTGAAATCCGATCAAAGTTTAAATTTTGGTTAAAAAGTTGAATATTAATTATGAAAGAGGTAGTGTGTTAATGCGTCCTGTTGTCTTATTGAAGGACCCTGCTTGCACTTGGTTTCCACATTGGTTTAGCTGATGACTGCGCTGAGGAACGCACCAAATACATGAGATTACACGCAAAGTAATAATTTTAATGTGCTTGATTGAATTTTGATGGAATTTGCATTGTTAGAGTTTGGATAAAACATAATATTTTATGCAAATGTTTTAGATTTGATTTTGATATACCAATGCCTTTTTCTCAATCATCTGTTTCAGGTATGAGCTGCCCTGTGGCTACAGGCCTGCACCCATAGATTTAAGACAAATTATCCTCAGTTCAGCCGATGAGCATGTGGTTACCTTGCTGGCAGAAAACCAACATAATGTATGGGCCAGAGAGCGTATCAAACAGGGATGGACCTATGGACCTCAGCAGGTGCTATTTTTTATGTGGCCTTGGTTTCATAAAGGCGGATCACGATACAATAGAATACCATAAACATTTCATATATTTCAACAAATCAATACAAAAAAAATCTAACTCATTGAACTTAATCATTACACCCAGAGTTATATATTACAGTACAGCATATACAGTATTTAAACTTAACTTCTCAACTGAAATGCAGTTAACACTTCCATAATTTTTTTTATCCCCTTAAATTTAGTGTGGCATCTTTTTTCATAGCAGTGACTGCACCCCATTTATGAATTGTTTCTACAAATACAGACTAGTTTTAACATTTAAACAGTGAGAGTTAAAATGCACATATTACAGATGTTAGCTTTTTTTGGGTTTGTATAAAATCCAGAACTATCCATTCCTTTTTAACAACATTCAAGTGCTTCAAACTGATAACTTACAGTGAACAATTTCCCAGTAGCCACAGGTGAAATGACTAATCACTAACTGTGGCAAAACCATCCTCAACCCTAAGAAATATGGTGTCATAAAATGGGACAGATGGACCCAGTATTCAAGGCAAGTCAGACAATGGGAAGATTCAAAACGTTTAATAATAGAAATGATAAGACAGAACACAACAGAAACACGGGCTGCTAAGGATAATTGGACCACAGTGGCTGCAGGGGGAGGCGGGGCACTGCCCAATCACTGACATTCTGGAGGGAGAAACATAGGTAAGTGACCAGGATCATCTGATGGAAATGATTATCCAAGTGAGTCACTTACCTGGTTTAACAGTACAGTCCATCCTCTCCGAAGAAGGCAAGATCCAGCTGATGGACTGATAAATGAGATGCGGCTCAGAGCCGTCCAAAGTGTCCCAGATGCAGCAACCCCAGTGAGCAGGCAGGAGACCGATCCAGGTCAGAGAAATAGTTCAGAACCGGACAGTTCCGAGTTCCAGGCATAGTACGTTGCCTGACAAGGGGTTCCAATCCGAACAGGAACAGACAGATTCAGGGTTTTCAGGAATCCTCAGAGTGTGAAGGCAGGTTCAGAGTTCTATGATACCACCAGCATATGCAGACAGACACACGCCGATAAATACAGGCACGCTCAGGGGTAGAGAGGAACATAGACAAGACATGGTTCCAGGATAAACGGCAAACTTTAAACTGGTGTCCACCTTGGAGCCAGGCTTACAGGAATTAAAACTGACTTTCCCTGCATTCCAAGCCAAAAGCCTGAGCCGGGACACAACCAGTAGACAGGAGACAAACACCAAACCCTCTCAATCCACTGGTCTCCAAGACTCAGGGCATGAACCAGGAAATTAACTCTCATGAAACAAACATGAATAACTGACATGAAAACATAACACGAATAAACAAAGAATAGACAAATAAATTAAGAAATAGACGAATAATGATCTGGCCCTGATAGCTGGGCTGAACTGTATATATAGCAGAGGGAGCAGGATAATAAGATTAATGATAATTAGAGAGCAGGGAGGGAATAGCAGGTGAATAATGTAAGTAATCATAGAAGCTACCGGCGCTTCGATCATGACATATGGATTCTATGTCCTTCAAGTCTTCCTCCAAAACTTTAGAAACTTGATGTACAAGTCCAAGGCTTGCTTTTCTGATATCTGAAAGAAGAACATTTCTTTCCCAATTTGGTTTTTGCCCATGTCTGGATTGGAGCTATGCTCTGTTGCTCTTGAACCTCTGGCTCCAGCTGTAGTCTATATATTGTTAATGTCCTTCACGCCCTTGAAGTTAGGTTTTTTTTGTACAATGGTGCACTTAGATGGAGCAATATAGGAAGCTAGCTTACTTTTGATAGTCACCTTTTTTGCCTTATGCACCTTTGGGAGAACATCAGTGGAATTTTAACTAGGCAATCTCCTCTATACTTCTGTTGTTTTAAACAAATGAAAATTAAATTTAAAATTTAAGATATTCTATTTCTCTAATTGTATATTTTCTTATTTCAAAGAACACATTGTAACTTAAATCAATAAAATGAACATAAAAATCTCTTGGACACACCAACTATTATGTTATAAATATCAGTTTAAGTTTTTTTCATTATGTACGAAATGCTACAGGTTATTTAGCCCCTAGATCATATTACATTTTAGACCCAAATGTCTTGCAGCAAAACAATTACAAGTTTTAAGTTTAATCTGTTTATCCATTTAATACAATTAAATCCGCCCCACAGCATGCCATGAGACTGCTCATTCTCTGAACACATATCCCATAATTATACATACAGTAGATCCTTAAAATGTTAAAGACATTCGGACAACATTTAACTACCCATTTGCTCTTTCCAATCTATGTTTGTAGGATATAAAAGGAAAGCGGAGCCCTCACCTCGTACCTTACAGTCTTGTTGATGAAAGGATGAGAAAAGCAGGCACTGAAAGTGTGAGAGAGGCCGTCTGTATCCTGCTGGCATTTGGCTACAGCCTGGAGTCCTTAAGCCAGGAACAGAGTATGAATCAAATACCTGTCACTAATCTTTAAAGTCTCAGTTTAATTTATCTCTATTCTATCTGTTGTGGACTTCTTTAACCATGTACATGTTCTCAATGAATAGCTAATGTATGAAACCTAATGGAAACTCTACAGTAAGTTGCAGTTTTTAAATTGTGGTTTATTGCTGTAACCTCTGTCAGTGTTGGAAAGATAAACTAACAAGGGAGGAATTTAAATTTCATTTTATGAGATAACCATTTTTACTCTGTTTCTTTGACTGACAGCTCCTTTATCAAAGCCATGCCTCTTCTCGATGGAAAAGAGCAGAGTGTTCAGACCAGATAAATCCTACGTGGTGACCAAGGGGAAGTGGTATTTTGAATTCGAAGTCCTGACAGCTGGGAATATGAGAGTGGGTTGGGCCCGACCAGGCTGTACTCCAGATAAAGAGCTTGGCTCAGATGACCAGGCTTATGTCTTTGATGGATTTGAGGTGAGGCATTCCAATTTACCAACTCCTGATTTCCCAAAGATGCTTGCTGTTGTAAAAACCCAATTCCTAGCTAGTTTGTTAAAAAAAAGCATACTGTGGATTTGTGCCGTTTTTTCATCAGAGTAGATTTAATTTACAAGCATTGCCTAAATTCAGATTTCCTTTTATCTTTGATGTCTCTTATCCAATATCAATATGCAATTTATCTGATCTGTTTTAAAAAGCAACTTTTAGTCTGAACTTTGTTCAGACCTTAATGATTAGATGTTTTTGTTTCATAAAACTGCTTTCAAGCTAATTTGATAAAATGGTTTCCTTTCATAATTCAAGGCAGTTTGTGTTGAATGTATTCAAGTCTCTACAAGGAAATCATTTTTTTATTTTTTTATTATAACAAAACCAGACATTTGATAACCAAGAACACTCCAATCTACTCAGAGAGAAAATGAGTGTTATAATATTTTTTTATCACTCTTTGGGTGTTTAATTTGGTTTGGAAAATTTACTAATCCTTAAGTTATTAAATCGACTTTCACCTCACATGGGGTATACAAAAATAACCTTTCCCTTAAATTTCCTCATGTTAAGGGTAATATTTTTCACTAATGAGGAGAAAACCAGCATTGATGCAACTTACGGTATAAAAGTCAGAGATCAACAGGGTCTCAGTAGGGTTGTGATGTAATGCCACAACATGGGTGGTATACCATCCAATGCACTTCTTGGAGATTAATTAATTAGATATAATCAAGTAAAAATACAAATTCCAGACATATATTTGATAAAAACCAGCAAGATCGAGGTTATAAGGTTTGCACATAATAAAAAGAAATACTATCATTTGCAAGCAAAATCATAGTAATATTATGGATAAAGTTCAGTTCCTTACCAAGGTTTTTGAGTTACTGTAGCTCATCAGTTGCTACAGCTGTTAAATTTTATTTATTCATTGTTTTAAGAAATTGAGTGAAATTAAGGGTTTATAGATTTGGCTCAGAAATTGTAAAAGACATTGATTCTTGCTTTTTAAAATATAAGCGATTCCATTCCAAACCTTGTAATACTATACCTTACAAGTGTCTCCATTAATATGTGTCATGAAGCAGGGCTAGAAAACAAGGCTAGCTGGTTGCCTTGGTCAGTAAAAGCAGTTTTGAAGTTATATTTTCATACATTCTCTATAGCTGATTATTGCTATAGAGTGTTTGAGTCATATAACCATAAATGCCCTCAAATTAAATACAAATACACAATATTTATTAAGGCATTTAAAACTACTCCTTAATCCACATGCTTTCAATTTATGCGATTGACTACCAGATTAGTCTCTATTATATTACGGCATTTACTCATTTCCATACCCGGACTCTGTTTAACTGTTTAATTACTTACCTGTGTACATTCAACAGTTAAATGACCTCAACATAAAAACTGGGTTTATTCACTCTGTTGTTAGATTGTTTGTGTTTGTCTCCTGTTAGTCATGTATTTCTGAATTGTTTCTTCCTTAAAATCTTTATTGCATTTATTCCTGCCACCCTCATCCTTGAATAAGAGCTGAAAAAACTTTTTTTCATGATGCATTTTTGTATTGAAACAAAATAATGAATTGATGCATCAGCATTAGCAGATGTCATGGCATTGTACATTATTTGTCAAATGCAGTTGAGAAAAAAACATGCGTTGAAATCGTTTGCAGAAATTGATCTGTCCGAATGTCATCTTATTTGATCTTTACAATGCAGAATTTTTTATGTTCATTTTTAAGAAATGTATTATTTTAAACTTCTACAAGGGAAAAAACACACAATTCTATCCTGCTCTGTTCCTATATTGGTTAATTTACAAGAGGTAAACGTACCTCTGTTGTTTTAAGATGTTCAATTCTACATAAATGAGCAGTATTCTTTTACTTCATCCCCTTTTTTGTACTTTGATGCTGTAGTTAAATATCCATATATAGTTTTTTTTTTTATTAAGAAAAAAACATCTTCCAATGTTTTGCTTTCAGGCTCAGTGGTGCCATCAGGGAGGTGAGCCCCTGGGGCGTCCGTGGCTCAGAGGCGATGTGGTGGGTTGCTTGGTGGACATGTTTGAAGGCACCATGATGGTCACGCTCAATGGAGAGCTGCTGTTTAATGACAGAGGATCAGAGCTGGCTGCCAAGGATTTGGATATCAGAGATGGTGCGGGAAAATCCTTTGCTGGAGTTTGCATACTGAACACAGATATTTTCTATGGAACTGTGAGAACATATAGATACAGTACTGGAAAACAGTTTCAGTTTCAGCTAGATTTTGTTTGAGGGTTTGGTCACTTGAGTATGTAGGATCATCACTAAATGGTAACGCTGAAAAAAGATATCCAGAGTAAATGCTATTTTTATATTATGATTTGAGTTATTCATAGAAGCAGGCAGTAATACTAACCTGAGTAAAACAAATTCTCCCATAAACCTATTAAAAGGTTGTGCAACCACTTTTATCAACAGACGGCATTAAATATTCCTGGTTAGGAATGAGTAATTTACATAAATTTGGTGTAATTTTAGCTCATTCTTTGTTGTAACATTGTTTATTCACTAACAATGCGACAATTTAAAGTGTCTTTAATGCTATATGAGATATGGCCTTAATGATTGGTCTTAAGTTCAAGATTTTAACTAGGCCCAACTGAAACGCTGTTTTAGTGTTTTCCTGAGCTAAGGTTGGTGTATTTCAGCCATTGTGGTGATGCAGAGCCCAAGTGTTTTTGACCTTAAAGATTCAAAGTGACAACCTGCCATTCACTGTGATTTACTATTGTTTTCTGGGAAAATTGTAAATGTATATTTCCAGCAAGATGTGTGTTTTGCATTTAACCCCTCAGCCTTATTTTCCTTTGCAAATTTAATATTTTTAAAATTCTAGTGGGATAAAAAGTGTAAAATGAAAAGAAATCAGCAAGAATGTAACCCCTCTTAAGACTATAAACATCTTTATTCTTGTTTTCCATTTGTTCATGTATTTATGAAGTCCACCCTTGAACAAATTTCCCTTTGTTTTTTTTAGGCCTGTTGCCTGTGGTCAGTGTTGGGGTGAACCAGGTGGGAAGGCTAAATCTAGGCCGCCAGGTGGAGACTCTGCAGTACTTTAATGTGTGTGGCCAGCAAGAGGGTTATAAACCTTTTGCCTTTAATATGACCAGAGACCCATCTCTGTGGATGAGTTGGAATCTGCCGCACTTTATGTCAGTGCAGCCTGATGATCAAAACCTTCAGGTTAGTGCAGTGGTCGAGGGATTATTTTCACACAGCTTGGTAACAATCATTGCAAGGACCTAGCACTGTACAATAGCTGTAGAATTGTTAATATGGAGCCATCTCTGGGACTCAGCAATGTTTTTTTTATATGTATTAATGCACCACTTTGATTCCCAAAACATTTTGCTAATCTGACTCAAGGTTACTCGACTCAGGGGCTCAATGGATTTCTTATCCAGCCTGAGGGTCTCTCAGCGTTTGTTGGTGCAACATGGTGGAGGGAGTGAGATGGGCTTTTACCGGCTCAGCATGCCCATTGAGTGTGCTGCCACACTCAGAAGCCCTAAAGATGGTGTGCCTCTAGTCCCCTCCAGCTCTTTAACTCCAAGTTCAGGTTCGTATGCATTGCTCAGAGAACTCACACAGATAATATTGTATCTAATGCAGCACATAAAACCAATGATCCATTAGATGAAATACTGTAAATTGTGTATGGAATCCAGCTGCTATTATTCAGACTTATCCCCTGTCTAGATAACTGATATTCTACCATTATGACCTTGATGTATTGTTCTAGTTAAGCTCCCCAGGGCCACAGTGTAATTAATGCCTGTTGTCCTTTAGCGAGAAAAGAGCTGGAGGACACAGACTCTGACTTTGAAGTGCTGATGAAGTCAGCACGCAGCTTTGCTGGCTCAAGAGATGAGCTCAACCACAAGGATCACGGTCATGAAAAAACATCAAAACTAAAACAGCGGTAGGTAAAAGAGTAAAAAACCCTGATATTAAACATATAGGGAAAAATTGAAATGTTTTAAACATTTAGATGTTAATTCAGTTCACTTATTTACCATTTGTTTAATAAAAAAGGGCATGTTACTTTTCAAATTAGGGAATTTTTATCATTCTTTTTGCCATATTTATATCCAGTTACATTCAGTTTGATTTAATCCAAGCTTTATTAAAATAAAGCCGCATTAATCTGATCACTTTACAGTTCCCTTTTACTGTAGACACCATGGTCATTGGCATCAAGTCATTCAATTTGCTGCTGTCCCTTATTCTGAGTAAGCATGTGATGACTAAACAAATGTATGGTCATCAAATGCTCTCATTTGTAAGAGGAAAAAAACAAAACACAGAAGGGCTGGTCCATAACTACTATTTTGGGGAAGAACAATCTAAGATTATATGCAGATATTAGGAGCAATAGCTCAGTGAATAACTTCAAAAATAAGTCACAAAGAACTGTGATGATAGCAATACAGGCAGCTTAGCTACATAAATACCTTGACACTGAAAAGAACCAAAGAACCATGGGAGTTGAAGTAATTACAATTGGAAAGAAAACAAAGAGCTTACAGAAAGTTAATGTTATCCACAACTCTGACAAATTATGTCCTGAAAGATGAAATAATAAGAGGGCATCAGCAGCATTCTGCCTGCATATTAATAATAAGAATATTTTCTTCTTATTGATAATCAGGCAGAATGCTGCTGATGGTTAATGGTTAATGATGGTTAATGGTTAATGATAACAGTAGCATCATCAAGGAGGCAGTTATGCTGTGAATATATGGGGTCAGAACCAATTTACACAATCCACGGAAGAGACACACCTAACCATAAACTGGCCCACTTGTATATTCCGTGAAAAGAAACCGAGAGAACAAAGTTAAAAACAACAAATAATACATACATGGAAAATAACAGTCTGANAGCTGAATAGATTTGAAGGAACAATGATTTGAAAGAGAAACTTTGCATAACCAATTCCACTTTCTGTTATCTTGAAGGTTCATGATGAAAAGGAACAAACCAGGCTTAGTCAGCAGTAACTCCTCTGCACGGCTTCTGGAAGACGTCATTGTTGAAAAGGATAACTATGACCATCTTATCCAGAGCGCTAGAGTAATATTTCTTCATTACCTCATTTCATCACAACTACTTGATTGTGCTAAATAATTTTTCTTTATATATTTTAATATTTTTGCAGTCTGCAATTTTTAAGATGGATTGTATTGCTAGCCTTCTATCCTAGATGGGGAATATTAAACAAACTGTTAAACAATGGATTGTGCACTTTCATTATGCTGTTGTTCTTTTCCAATTACCAGCCACACTAATACAATAACTGCATAAACACGGTTTGAATACCCAACCATACACTCAATGACCTATTTGTTTCAGTATTATTATGCAGTGAGGGTTCTTCCTGGCCAGGAGCCATTCAATGTGTGGATAGGCTGGGTGACCTCTGACTTTCATCAACATGACACAACATTTGATGCGGACAATGTCGGCACAGTGACTGTCACCCTCGGAGATGACACTGGCAAAGTTCAGGAAAGGTTAATCAGTGCAAAGAGAATTGCATATTTTTGTGAATATATAAGAGTTGATGGCTTACTTTTCCTTCTTAAGTTATAATCTGCTCAGCCTCATAATTTTAATGTCCCATTTGTGTCCTATATGCTATAATTACTGTTGACTGAAGGTTTTCCAATCTCTCTGGTATAGTGTGAAGCGATGCAACAGTTTCATGGTTTGTGCTGGAGAGGCCACAGGTCTGTCTCAGAGTCGTCGGAGTGCAGGGTTGGAGATTGGCTGCTTGATTGATTCAGCGACTGGACTGCTCACCTTTACTTCCAATGGCATTGAAATGTCAACTTTCTTTCAAGTAGGTCCTGCAGCAGATATTGTACCTTGCTAATGTAAAACCACATTAAAAAGTTGCGGTGGACCTATAATTCAGCCTCCCTGACTCAATAGAAAAAATACCTCTACTTTCAATAGAGAGTGACTGGAGACATCACAGTCCTTTGCATTCTAGGATGAAATGGGTGTATTTTTTTTTAGATCTGCTTAACAGAAAGTTATTGTTAGACAAAGAACCAATATAACACTTTCCTGATCAGACTAATTTTTCAGTTGTTTGATGCACGATTTAGTCTAGAGGGCTGGACGTGTTCTTGTCTTTTACCTCATGACTTTTCAGTCTGATGGTCCAAAGTTGTCAAACATCAGATAATACCGCCAGGTGCTTTTAGGGATGCTGAACTTGGAAGTAACAGGTCTAGTGCCTCTAGTGGCTTAAGGTTATAGTGTTTATTTAGCATTGCACATATCAATTTGACACTTTTCTTATGTATATACTTGGATATATACTAAAGTCCTGCTAAAGCAATTAAGTGCAACATCATTATAATCTAATTTCCTATTACACCTCATTTCCTCAACGGATTATTTAGGATATATCTGCTTTGAATAGACAGATTCAAAGTTTTAAAAAAACAAAAATAATACTTCAAGACATTCATTCTTAATTAGAATTATGTCTTTACTTTTACCTACTCAGTCCAGCACAATCAAACAATTTAATTGTAGCTCTTGCTGTTTGTGAATGTCAACCTGCTGGATGGTAAACTAGTTGTTTAGGATTGTCCTACCTTTAGTTGCAGCCATGTGATTTTTACAGCTCTGACTAGCTTTCCTGTTACAAAAACATCCCCTCTTCATAATGCTATTACACTTACAGTATTGGGTCTTTTGTAGCATTTGTTTTTACTGCTTGCTTTCATAGAATAGCTACAGCTGAGATAAAATAAAGCGGCAGGCCTTGAAAGATAAGTGGTTGCTTATGTTTTTTATTATGTATATAAGTATTTTTCATGTGACTTACAGCAGGAAGAAAGAACTTTAAAAGCTTGTATCCTTTTATTCTTGCTTTTATACTTTACTATATCTGAGTAAAAAAAAGGTTGTAGCATAAAACATGAAAAGTGAGTGGCAATGAGCATGTACGCATGAATGGTTATTCTTCTGTTGAACAAATATTTCTGTATGCAACTTATGTTTGAGAAAGCACGTCATTCAAGCTGTTTTAGACAAATGTTAATGGTTTACATTTCATAATTAAGCTGTGAAACTATTTCCCAACTAAAATAGGTGGAGGCTGGTACCAAGCTGTTTCCAGCTGTTTTTGTCAAGCCAACCACCACCAACATGTTTCAGTTTGAACTTGAAAGCACAAAGGTAATTAATGCCAATGAACTGATATGAAAATATAAAGTTATTAATAAATCTTCTAACATGATAAATAAAAAATAAATTCAAGTTGATGAACTATAGTGATGCTGTTATTTTTTTCTAGAACGTCATGCCCTTGTCATCAGGTTTGCTTCGCAGTCAGAGAAGGAACCCAAGTCCTCAATGCCCTCCAAGGTTTCAGGTTCAGCACCTGAAACCTGTCACATGGACCAGAGTACCAGACAGTGGGTTAAAGGTATTTGTAGATCGACCAGATGAGCACCATGGCTGGAGAGTCCAATGCTCTGATCCCCAACAAGTAATGATTCTTCAGATTCCTGAAGAAAATAGGTAAAAATAAAAAAAAGAACCAAATAATGTGTGGTTGTATTTACCCATTTACATAAATATTTTTATTAAGCAAAATTTTACATGTCCGCAATTTTAAATTACAATAGATTTGCCTTTTTTTTTAACCAGGTACCCTTCAATATCCCCCATTACAGTTTTAATTAGATTTTAAGAAAGCAAAACCTCTAAAACTTTCCTTAATTTTTCCTTGACATTCACTAGGTGTGTTGACATTTTGGAGCTGTCCGAGCTTGATGACCTCCTCACTTTTCATCAAAATATCCTCCTGCTCTACTCCTCGCTAGCTGCCTTTGGTAACAACAGAGTTTGCCATGCTCTGTGCAGTCACGTTGACCAGTCACAGATCCTCTATGCTATTCAGAATCCTAACCTCCCGGGGCAGCTCCGCTCAGCGTATTATCAGCTCCTTATTCAGGTACCTGTTGGAATTAATGCAAACAATGATAATAACAAAGCTTTTGTTACCTTTTATACTTTTTATTTTTAGGTTTATCTAAGCAGCCACACAACAGCATGCCTTATGATGAATCATGAATACATAATCCCAATGACTGACCAGACCAGAGAAGCCTCATTTTATCTTGGTATGGAAAAGTTTTCTGGAGGGATTGCTCAAACATCAGAAGGCATTCCTAGCACTTGCAGAAGCAAGTGCCTCAAACCGCAGATGCATTTCTCATCTCCTTGTTTTGTCAGAGGTTATGAGACTGAAGAGGAAAGTGTGGCTGAAATAGCCTGCACAGACAGCCCAGAAATTCCTTTGGACATACTGAAGAATTTGACATTGGACATGCTGACTGCTGGGGTTGTAGCTGTCGGTCAAGCTGTGAGGGATCCTGCAGGAGGAAGTGTTGAAGTTTTGCTTGTTCCACCTTTAAAAGTGTTGTACAGCCTTCTGGCCATGGGAGTGTTTGGGGATGAAGACCTTGCAAAGGTTCTTTGGCTAATTGAACCAAATGTATTCTCCAAAAATATCAAAACTGTTAAAGGGAAGGAAAAGGAAAGTGAAGATGATAAACAAGGACAAAAGAAGAGGAGCACAAACCATGATGATATCAATAAACAAGGGCTTCTTCAGATGAAGCTTCCAGAAGCTGTCCAACTTGAGGTGATTGTATATTTATTTCCGTTCACTAAACCTAATTTTATTTAATCAAATTGTTATAAGTTGCTCTGAGCAGCTAAAGCTTGAAATGTATTGTCAAGGCAGTCATCTATATTTTTCTAAAAAGAGGAGAACATAAATGTGAAGTGCAAAGGAAATAAGATATGGTTTTATTTAAAGGTTATTTACAGATTCACACATGGATTTAGGTTTACTATAACTGGGCCATTTTGACATAGAGATATGATCTGAACCAGTAGTTTTTATACTTCCTATAGCATGAACATCTCTTCTGTTGTATTAGAGGATTAGAAGATTACTTCAGAATGAGAAACATTGGCCAAAACTATCCACTGTACCTCGAATGTATATTTACAGTTTTTAATCTTCTGGTGAACCAGTGCCCTAATTTAGGTCTCTTTCTCTAGTAGTCTGTTATGGCACTGCAATGTAGTTTGCATCCACCCTTCTTCCCATCAATTCTCTTAATAAGTTAGAAAAAGTCTCTACATGCTGATGCTGCCACCATAATGTATCTTGGGGGATGATCCCATCAGAGTTAGGTATTTTTTTTATTTCAGTCTAATATTTTTTAAATTTTTCATTTGTAAAACTTTGTATGTAAACCTAAGTGTCTCAGCGCTTCTTCTTCCATGTGTTTACCTATGGTAAAGGAAGTTAGTCACCAGGCCGTACTTTAAATAATTGCAAAGGAAGTTTAGTTTAGTCTTTAACTTACATTTTTTATTCAAATTTAACTTTGTGGATTTAACATGACAGAAATCTGAAAGAGTTTATGGATATGATAAGTGCCAGTGCAACCCTGACTAAGAAAGATTTTCCACATCTCCTCTTTTAGCTTTGTCATCTGCTGTCCTACCTGTGTGACTGCCAGGTGCAACACAGAGTTGAAGCAGTGACTGCATTCTCTGCAGACTTTGTACATCGGCTACAAGAAAACCAGAGGTTTCGTTACAATCAGGTCATGCAGGCTCTCAACATGTCTGCAGCGCTGACTGCTCGCAAAACCAAGGAGTTCAGGCTTCCTCCACAAGAACAGGTTGAGTAGCCCTGGATAGATACAGAACTTAATTAGACTGCATAATAACTGTCAAAAGGGATATTTACAGATTTTAAAAGTGAGGTTCTCTCATAAGGTATTTGGTAGTTATGATCTTATCTGAAATTAATATTTCTTTCTGGATCTTTATTTAGTATACATCCAAACTATTAAGTTTCCAGATAACGACCAATTATCTGAGAAGAAACTCAGAAATGTCTTGGTTATGTGAACCCCATGACCCTTTGAATAATGCTTGTGTTTGCATTGGGTGGTTATTTACAGAGAATCCAATGAATATTTATTTAAAAAATGAAGGTAGGAGGTGTTGCATCTCTTATGGTCTTAATGTGTGAAACACAAACCAAAAGTGGAAGGTGTAAAGCATTTCTGATCTTTGTAAACTGTCAAACCAATGTAAAAGGCAGTTTGGAAAGCAAACATACATACTGTAGTAGTTTATCAGTTTACTGACTTTTGCAGTTTATTACTTTTCTGCTGGACTTTTAATATGGTCAGAAATGGTTCATTCTTTCATGATCCATATCCTGTGAAAAACAAAGTAATTGGCTTCTTTGTGAATAACTTTCACTTTACAAATGGGGGTACGGTTTAAACAAGAATTTAATCTCTACCAACAATCTTTGAAGAATTAAGACTGAGACTGAGCCATAGTCTTTTCTTAGACTTTTCCAACCTGGCATATAAAAAAAGTATGTACTAGTTCAAAAGTATATGTACTTTGTTTTTTATGATCGTCTCTAAAGTAAATTTTTAATTGCTGTTTTTATAAGGTCTACGATTGTAAGTCAAATCCCTTTTCTGAGCACACAAACTTGGCAAATTAATCGATTCTTTGTTTAAAGTTCTTAGGGGTTTATTTTGGTCGAGGCCTATGTTTCAGAAATGCCTTAAGCTTTAACTCGGATCTGTACCAAATAAGAGTAAAAAATACATTTCCGGTTAAATATTGACTATTATTTAAAAAGTCTATCCCTTTTAACAAGATAAATAATTATGGTTCACACTACTTTTGTTAACCTTTTTCTTCAATTTTTTCTCCATTTAAAAAGATGAATTTGCTGCTAAGCTTCAGGGAAGATGAACAACAAGAGAACTGCCCCTGTCCTGTCGAACTCCAACAGCTATTATTGGACTTTCACCACCTGCTTAACACACACTGTGGTAATAATATGGTTGATCTTTCAATTATTAAATCATGGAACTATGAAACCCTCATAGAGGGCAACCGCTCTAATTACCATAAATCGTAAAGATCCTTTTAATATCTGTCTTATCAAGGCACTGAAATGGTTCCAGACTCAGAGGAAGAAGATGATGCCAAAATGTCTTTAAAAGATTGGCTTTTTTATCGAGTTGGACATAAAAAGAAACCAATAGAATTGAAAGAACATAAATCTTCCTCCCCAAGTAAGCCTGCTTTTATAGATTTTGAAATATGAGAAACTCTAATTTTTCACTTCATCTAAGATTTGATCTTCTGTGATTCAGTTACCTTTCGTCTGTAGCAGGGAAAAATATATGTTTAGAAAATTGTCTAGAATTGGAAAAATTTAAAAGTGTATTTTCTGGCTTTTTCATGATAAGTGCCTTCAGGTCCCACAGTCTAGTTTTTATCAACACTTCTCACTTCCTGGCAGAGTCTCTCAGAAGACTGATTTCGGAGACGATGGTGTGCTGGGCTCAGGAAAGAGAGATAGAAGATCCTGAACTGGTCAGGGCTATCTTCACTTTGCTATACCGGCAGTATCAGGGCCTCGAGGGCCAAATGAAAGGGTCACTGTTAAAGGCATATACCATCAGCCAGTCTTCCATGGAGGACACCATGGCACTCCTGTCCTCCCTGTGCCAAATCCGTTCTCTCCTAAGTGTCCGTATGGGGAAAGAAGAAGAGAAGCTGATGATCAGAAGGCTTGGGTAGAGAAAGAATTGTCTCTTGTGATGCATTATCATAATTGTGTGCACTGCAGTGATGCTTATTGTTTATATTTGCAGAGATATTATGAATAATAAAGTTTTCTACCAACATCCCAATTTGATGAGAGCTTTAGGCATGCATGAGACTGTGATGGAGGTGATGGTCAATGTTCTGGGTGAAGGAGAGTCCAAGGTAATGGATTGACAGTTATAATCAGCTGTTGTTAACACATTATTGTCTTTATCTATAAATACATATTATGCTATAAACTGTAAACTAACCCACTTTAACTTCATAAATGTTACTGTTTCAGGAAATCACTTTCCCCAAGATGGTAGCCAGCTGTTGTAGATTCCTTTGTTACTTTTGCCGTATCAGTCGTCACAATCAGGGAGCTCTATTTGACTGCCTCACCTACTTACTGGAAAACAGCCGAGTTGGACTGGGTAGGTTCTTTATCTCCTCAAGATTGTAACATAGTAAATTTACCAGCTTTATTAGAATGAGTTTTAAAAATTTTCACTTGTTTTTTTTTCTTCAGCTTCCCCATCCATGCGTGGCTCCACTCCTCTTGATGTGGCAGCAGCCTCTGTTATGGATAATAATGAGCTAGCATTATCACTAAAGGAACCTGACCTAGAAAAGGTGTAATGCTATATATATGTTTTTGTTTTGTTTTGTAGTTTGCCAACAATGTTGTGAAAGGCCACATCAAAAAGCAAACAAAAACCATGTCTACTTTTTCTAATCTGATTTACAATCCAGGTGGTTCATTACCTTGCTGCATGTGGCCTCCAGAGCTGTTCAATGCTTGTGGCAAAAGGCTACGCTGACATTGGATGGAACCCCGTGGAGGGAGAGCGCTATCTGGATTTTCTACGCTTTGCTGTCTTCTGTAATGGTACATTTGCACGATTAAAGCATGAAAAACTACTCTTAACAGGGTTTTTTTTTACTTTATTACTTGTCATGGATGGTGATAAGCTTAATAAAATGCAATCAAGGAAAGAGTCGTAGTACACTCAAAAAATTGCTTGGTAAAAGGTGGCCTAATTGGGGTAACTTTGTAAACCCATTACTGGGTCAAATATAGACTGATCCAAGCCAGGTTGATTCAACTCGACAAAGTTGGATCCCTGGTTTGATCTTGTCTACTGGGTCTGATTTCCAAAATCCAAAACATGGATTTTAGTCATCCAGAGCTAATAGTAAAAGGTATAATGAAGGATTTCCTTGAATTCGTTAAAAGATATTATAAATACAGATGCAGTCAATCTGATAAATGTCAAAACGTCCACTTAAAATGTGTAAACATTTCTAGGCATAACTTATACCTAGAAATATACATATAAACTTAATTCTTGTGGTGTATTTTTCTTTTTAGTTCATGAAATTCTGTTTCTGCAGGTAAAAATGTAACTTAGAAAATCTGCTCTTACTCTAATAACTCTTATTACTCTGCTATGGCTCTAGATACTACTTTGAAATGAGATAAATGTTTTGCATCCTAACATCACATGAACTTATGACATTAAACTTCCCTGTGCCCCTACTTAATATAAAGAATTGCAAAAACATATGAATAAAACTATTGAATACTCTCTTTATTACAACCACGGTTTTAATTATTTATTGAGGCATTTAGAAATGCTTATAATGCTTATAATGCATTGGATAATAATTGCTCATGGGAGCTGAAGGATTCAAGCAAGGAGCAAAATGCAAAGCCTAAAAGCCACAAATAGCTGCTTCATTTCATGTTCCCCATTATCTTCGACATTTGGAACAGAGGTAATTCATTCTGCTATTGATTATCTTTTTTCTGAACCAGTGCCTAAAAGTCATCCCTCCGAATTGCCCTTGAGGTTGTTTACCATTCAGCCAAATGGCTTTCTGTTTGGCCGGTGTCTTTGTGATTTAAAGTTCTATCTTTTAGCTAAAGCCTTCAGTTTGTGCTATATTTATAAGAATATGATTATGTTGCTTCTGCTAATATTTTTTTTCTCATAAATTCAACAAAAATGTACTTACAGTCGAACAAAACAAGAATGACACATAATGCACATAGCCAGTCCAAAGTGTTCTTTCTCACACAGTCTAAAAAAATTAAGAGTTTATTTTTTCTTTACTTTCTTTGCTCTTTTTCCCAAAGGTGAAAGCATAGAGGAGAATGCATATGTGGTCTTGCGGTTGCTCATTCGTCGGCCTGAATGCTTTGGCCCTGCGCTAAGAGGAAATAAAGGAGATGGACTCCTAGCAGCAATGAAGGAAGCCATTAGAATCTCTGAGGACCAGTCTATGGATGGACCTTTACCCAGTCAGCACTCAAACAGAACAATGTCTGTATCACCCATTGGAAGAAACATAATGGATAATCTAAAATTAACATCTTGTGTCACATCAAAAAATCTGTCTCAAAAGCTCAAAACTTTTGTTTCCTTAAATAATGTGTGATTGTTGACATTGAAAATTTCTTACGGCTTTTGTGGTCGATTTCTATCACAGGGACGCTCCAAACAACAATGACGATGACCTTATTCACATGGGGCATGCCATCATGACCTTCTATTCAGCGCTTATTGACTTGCTGGGACGCTGTGCTCCAGAGATGCATGTAAGTAGTTTCTACTACAGCAGATTTTCATGCCACTGAGTTACATCTAATGACATACCAAAAAAAAAAGATTATTTGTTCTTTGAATGTCAAAATAGTGAACATAAATAATGATAAACATATGCATTTAATTTATTATAAATCATGGCATTTGCCAATCATTTAAAGAACCTTTTCTTCGGTACTCTTTATTTTGTAGCATTTAATAATGTATAAAGTATATTTGTAACAAGGATACATATTCATCTAACATATAATACAACTCATTAGCGTATCCTGACATTATATATATATATATATATATATATGTATATATATATATATATATATATATATATATATACGGTATATATATATGCTCACTGCGGCTGCTGATTATTTAGGGGGAAATATAACTTACCAGATGTTCTCTTTTCTGAACTGTTGATCAGCTAATTCAAGGCGGCAAAGGAGAAGCCATTCGCATCAGGGCCATCCTGAGATCACTCATCCCTGTTCAGGATCTTGAAGGAGTCATCAGCCTCTGCTTTAAACTCCCATCAATTTCTGAAGGTCAATGTGCGGTATTGTTTGTCTTTTAACATAAAATTTCCAGGGTGAAATATGAAGATATATATTTTTCCCTATACACATTTATTTTGTCAGGATGGATGAAAAAAAATGCTTAATCTAAAATGGTACAACCTTTTCTCTTTATACCCAGTCCAGCTTACTTAGAATCAATTGGAGTCGTAAACATTACATGATCTTATTTTGTTTTGTTTTATTTAATGACAATAGTCATCATTTAAAGAGCCATGATTTTTCCTTGTAAGATTGTTTGCTTTTTGCAAAAAGCTGACGGATACTTTACATTCTATCGGATTCTACTTGCTAAAACTTGCAATTTTAATATTATATCTACATTGAACACATTGTCAATAACACGAGGCCCCAAAGCTTCGGGTTGTAGACGTATGTCTAAAAGAAGCGCACAACAAGATATACTGCATAAAACAAATGTCAACTCCATGATATGATTAAAAGTTTAGGCTAGTTGTGGTCTAGTCTTTTGAATATTCTCTAGTTTGTTTTCTGGTAGAAAATATAATTTTATTGTATGATTGTTTCTTTTTTGGGGGGCTGTACTGCTGTGGAAATGTATGCTATTACCTTTTTATAATTTGTCATTTATTTCCCTTTGAGATTATTGTAATTTTGAATAGAAGCTAAGTTAAACTAATACTTTTTGTTATTGTCTAGATGGTGTGCTGGATGAGCCTGACTTGTCCACAGTGTTCTGTCCAGACCACAAGGCTGCTATGGTTTTGTTTCTGGATCGGGTTTATGGTATCCAGGAGAGGAGTTTTCTTTTGCACCTTCTGGAAGTCGGCTTTCTGCCTGACCTTCAAGCAGCTGTTTCTTTGGACACTGTGAGCGTTATTTTACCTCACTAATCCAAAAGGCGTGTTTGTGGCTGAATTAAAGCTAACTAAATAGAGCTTTAAACACTATATATTTTATAGTAACAACAAAAATATATTTATTTTTTTCCTTGTTTCTTTTGGCATAAAAAATGCATAATATTTAATATAAAAACATGGATATGCTTTCCAGTTGTTACCTGTTAATTATGTTCCTTCCATCACTAGACTCCAAAAGTCTCTCTTTTTTTTAAATACAGACTGCCCTAGGATCAACAGACATGGCACTGGCTCTCAATAGATACTTGTGTACAGCTGTTCTTCCCCTGCTCACCAAACATTCAGCCCTATTCCAGGATTTGGAGGATCATGTATTGCTGGTAGATTCCCTTATCCAGGCAATCTACAGGCTCTCTAGAGCTCTATGCTTGACCAGGGCTCAGAGAAACACCACAGAGGATTGCTTGCTAGCTTTGTGCAGGTGAGATTGGAAACTAACAGACAGACAATTCCGTCTTGAAGTTGAGTTTTACCAACTTTAAGACAAATAAAATCCAGTTTATTTGTTATTATTTAATTTATCTGCAGGCGAAGTTGCATCTTTCTTTAGTATTCAGAGTGATATTCTGATAGATTGTTTTAATCCCATTAAGAAATAGTAGATAAAAGACATCTTTATGTAAATCTTACACTTTATGCTTACAACAGTGCTTCACAGCACTGTTTATAACACTTGCGGGTTGTTATTTTTTACATTTATGCAATCTATTTGTGTTCTTAATTTTGTTTTTACAAATAGAAATTTAAAAAATATATTACTCTCACAAATGGTCAACTTCACATAACTTCACAATTAAAGTAAAACAGGTTTTTTGGTTGTAATTTAACAAAAACTAAAGTACATGTAGGAATTATTTAAAAACAATACCGGTATCACTGAATGCATTTTAAAGAGGGGGTTTATCTTTTTGTTTTTTTCCACTAAAACATGGGATGCAACATAATCTTCAAAAAAAGAAAAAAAAAAACAACTAACCAACAAACTCAATTGTGAAACCCTAATTATATTTATACATATTGTATCTTTGGGCATTTTAAGTATTTTTCCTGGATTTCTGTCATTCTCACAACTTTCTGTATCCATTGACCCACCCAGCCATAAAACCGCAAATAGAATGTATTATGATTAATTATGTTGTTTCGCCAATTTGTTCTTAATTTACAGAATTTAATCATCTTGTAAGATTAATGATTACCTTGCCTTTATGAAATTACATTAGTCACTCCTCTGTGTATTTAGACATTTCTGTTAGTGTGTATGTGTTAGTGATGGAGTTGGAGGGTTTCATGTTATCAGTTCTTGGTCTTTTTAGTAATCTCCAGACATCTACGATGCAGCCTCTCCTTCAAAGGCTTGTCTTTGATGTTCTCCATCTCTCAGACCACAGCAATATGCCTCTAAAAGTAAGTATATAAATAAATTAGATATACTCTTAAAATAGTATATCAGATTTTTATTTATGTTTTCTTAATTCACAGATGTTGACCAATCATTATGAGCAGAGATGGAGGTATTATTCCCAAGCTGGAAGGCAGAATGACCAGAACTTTGCGTCTGAAGATGAACTCAATCTGTCTACAAAGTTATTCTGGAGTGTTTTTAAGAGCTTGACAAAAAAGGTAAGAAATTATTAATACATTTTCCTCAACTTTTACCTAAAATTTTAAACACACTCAAATAATATTTTCAAATTGAATGGACCAGTTGAAAAAAGGACATTGTATCATCTGTTATCTTTTCAACTCTATCCTTTTACCATTCTCTGTCTATTTTAGGAGAAACAGCAAAATGCATTTCATTCATGTGCTCTTTTGGTGTATTAGGAGAACTTTAGTGAAAGAAGAAGGAGCACAGTGGAGATAAATAGTTAATCATATCGCGGTATGAAAACTTGAGCAGACTTCCTAGAGACTTTAAAGACACACAACCCGCAAATGAAACTCACAGCTCTCAGTTTGCTCTAAACTCATCTTTTTTATGAATCATTCTGAGCAAAAACAATATGAGAGGATTAACTGAATAGGCAAATTAATTGATTACGTAGTATAATTCTGTCTGAGGTATAAGGTTAGATACTAACAGTATACAGTATACAGTTTTCTGTGGAGGCTTGTAAAATCAATGGATGTTTTAATATAAGACATATAATTAGGTTTATTTTAGAAAACCAATCAACCAAGGGTGAAAATGGCACCAAAGGAGAAAGTAATATTTTTAGATTGGATTTGCAGTAGGTGTTCCAATTAATTGTTATTATAACGGTATTTGCTTTGCAAGACCGAACATCAAAGTTGTTGAAGGTTGAATTAAACTTAATAACTGACCAGTGTCTTGCATGTTCTCTGTTTTGTAACCAACTTACTGTAGCCATATTTTCGCCATGTCTGGACCTTGACAACTTATTTGTATTTAAGGAAAGTCTGATACATTTTGGAAAAACGCTTGTAAAGAGGGTACAAAGAACTTTAACGTCTACAAATGTCTGTATTCAGCTAATTTCTAATCTGTTTAGTATTTTTTTTCTTTCTTCCATTCTCCCCTTTCTTTTTCAACTCTAAAGACCCTCAGTCCTCAGTTGTTCAGACTAAGTGTGCAGTGCCTTGTTTCAGTTGCCAAAGCTTTGCCTCCTGACTATGTAGAGCCAGGCTGTTTGTCTCAAATGGAGGGAATAACCTCATTGGAGAGCGGATATTTTGACCTCCAACCTGTAGACACATCAAAGTAAGAAATGGCAGAAATAGTTGTCATTTAGTGACAAGAATCCTCCAGCTAACCTAATTTGATTCTGTGTTTTCTCTCCTCGAACTAGTGTCTCTGTTCCTGAAAGACTTGATTTTGTGGTTAACAAGTATGCAGAGCACACTCACGAGAAATGGTCTCTGGAGAAGGTAATATCTTAGTGACTGATTCTGAGATCTACATTGCTTGGCAAAAATTAGGGAGCTGATAACACACCTTAGGGCACTGTCACACCTTGCCGATTTAGCCAGCATATGTCTGACGTCCCAGAATTTCCTAAAACGCTGTCATACACTGAACTTTCTATGTATTTTTTTCAATTTTAGGCGTATACATAGTGTATTCATATGAGTCCAGAACTAATGTCCAAGGACAGCCTAACTTATGCATAATGTACAGCAGCGTAATGCATTACGAAGCATCAGTTAAAGCTGCTTCCCTAAGGCGTTTCACCGCTCCTGAGGGGAGCAGCAATGCGCCCGTAGGTGGCTATTCTGCATAAAAAGATGTCTTTGATCACAGTATTAACCTAACTGCTGTTTACCGCCTGCCCAAAAAAAAGGAATTAGTATAAAGAAGAAAGAAAGAAAGAAAGAAAGAAAGAAAGAAAGAAAGAAAGAAAGAAAGAAAGAAAGAAAGAAAGAAAGAAAGA